TTCCATCTCTCTGCTTCTATTACCCATCTGTTACTACATGGTGTCTAACTTTTTCCATTACTGCTCTCAAAATTAGTCAACATCATTTTAAAAATCCTGGTCTGATACGTCCAACATTTCTGCTATATTGGAGTCTGGTTCTGATACTTACTCGGTCTTTTCAGAGTGTTTGAGGTTTTATTTTTTTCCTTTTAATTTTATTATGCTTAAGTCTTTGTTGAAAGCCAGACCGATGCGCTGGGGAAAGGGAACCACAGTAAATAGGCATTAGTAATATACTGGCAAGGTGGCGGCAAGAGGAAGCATTCCACAGGCTTACAACCAGGTCTGTGATTAGACCACCTGTGTCCCTGGGCTCTGAACTCCACAAGGGCTTCACAGTTTTTTGTTTTTCATTCCTTCAGGTAGTAAAGGATGGCCAAAGGGGACCAGAGATGGGGATTTCCCTTCCTGCAGGTCACCTAGGCCATGGTAAAATAATTTGTCCTGAGAGGAGGGCTGGTTAAGAGCAGCATGCTCTAGGATATTTCAAAATGTCTCCTTTTCCCCTTCTGCTGCAGGAGAGAAGCCTGAGGGGACTCACCCGTGACACCCACGGTGAGAATCCTGCAGAGCACTGCTGGAGGTAAAACTCAACCTAAGTGTGAGGGTCCCCTATGCTGGGGCCCTCCTGGACTTGCACTGCACTGAGCTTTCAGCAATCTGCCAATTACAGTTCAGGTTTTCCTGCCCAGGTTATAACTGGTCTGGTAAATTGTAATTCTCTGTATCTGTAATTTTGGGGAGTGGCGTGTCCTGTGACCTCACTCCTCTGATAGATCCAAGAAGGGTGGGTGGTTGTTTGTTCAGCTTTTCACTTGTTAGGAAAGTGATGACTAAACTCCATACAAGTTGGACCAGAAACTAGAGGTTCTCTTGGAAGATTTTTTTTTTTTAAGATTTTATTTCTTTATTCATGAGACACACAGAGAGGCAGAGACACAGGCAGAGGGAGAAGCAGGCTCCACTCAGGGAGCCTGATGTGGGACTCGATCCCGGGACCCCAGGATCACACCCCGGGCCGAAGGCAGGCAGTAAATCACTGAGCCACCCAGGGATCCCCCGATTCTTGGAAGATTTTTTGAGTACTGACTCAATTTCTCATTTTACATAAGATTATTTCCTCTGGAGTCAGTTTTTGTATTTGGTGTGATTCAAGTGACTTTTCAATTCATCAAGATTACCTAATTTGTTAGCACTGTTATAATCTGCTTTATTCGCACCAGGCCGTAATATCCCCACTCTCATCACTGAGGTCAGTAATTTGAGTCATCTGTTTTCTAGTCTAGCTAAAAGTTTGTCAATTTGTCCATCTTTTATAGGAAATAACTTTGTTTTCATTGATATTTTTCCTATTGACTTTTCTATTTCATTCATCTCTGCTCTATTTATTATTTCCTTCTTTCTGCTGCATTCTGGTTTAGGTTATCTGTTTTTGGTGTATAAATGTTCATAAAACTTTTTGATAATCCTTTATATTTCTGTAAAATCACAAGTAATTTTCCCATTTTCATTTCTGACTTTTAGTAGTCTTTTTTTCATGGTGTAAAGGTCCATCATTTTGCTGATCTTTTCAAAGAAACAGCTTTTGGTTTTGTTGATTTTCGCTATTTCCCCCCACTGCTTATTTCATTATGTCCACTCTATCCTTACCATTTCCTTTCCTCTGGATGCTTTGGGCTTAGTTTGTTCTCTTCTTCAATTTCCTTAAGAGATTAGGTAATTGATTTGAGGTCTTCTTTCTTTCATATCTTCTTTGGCTCATTTTTTTTTAAGATTTTATTTATTTATTCATGAGAGACACAGAGAGAGGCAGACACAAGCAGAGGGAGAAGCAGGCTCCATTGCAGGGAGCCCGATGTGGGACTCCATCCTGGGACCCCGGGATCACGACCTGAGACGAAGGCATATGCTCAACCACTGAGCCACCCAGGCGTCCCTGACTCATTATCAAGTACAGTTTCATTTACACCTATTTGTGGATTTCACAATTTCATTATTATTCCTAATTTTACTCTATTATCATTGGACAATTTAGTTTGTATGATTTCAATCTTTACTGTTTTGTGGTTTAACATGTGATTGATATCCTGGAGAAAATTCCATACGCACTTAATGTGTATTCTGTCGTGGGTTGGTGTGTTCTCTAGGTGTATTAGGTCCAGCAGGCTTATAGAGTTGGTATTTTTTTTTCTTTTTTTTTGTTGATATTGCATCTTGTTCTATTATTGAAAGTGAGATACTGAAGTCTCCAACTCTTGTTGAACTTTCCCCCTTCAATTCTGGCAGTTTTTGCTTAGTAGGTTTTTGGGCTCTGTTTGGTGCATTTATAATTGTTATATCTTATTGGTGAATTAACTCTTATTATTATATACCTTCTTCATCTCTCATAATTTTTGTCTTCTAGTCTGTTTTGTCTGATATTACTATATGGCTACTGTTTGCAGGAAATATCTTTTTCCATTCTTTTACATTCAACTGGTATGTATTTTTAAATCTAAAGCAAGTCACTTAGGAATGCACAGCTCAATCACAGTGTGAGAAATCAATGCAACATGGGAAGTAAATCTATCCCAGCTCTGGTCTCTGTTGTATGTTTCCACTTAATAATGTAGAATACATAGTGCGGCCTGCTGATACTCAGAGTTACCCCTAGGAGAAGAGTGGGTGTAGAGTGTGCAGTTTACAGAACTCCAGTCGTGGACACTTCTTTGCACTCTTCTATATTGTGTGTTACCCTTAACACCCTTGGGTAAATAAATCTTAATTCCCTACTTGAGAGTAAGATGAACAAAAGGGATCCTGACATGTGAGTATGTGATGGATTCTATTGCTGTCTCCTTCTAGGAGGCCCAGGTGGGGGTGTGCGCATGGCATCAGTGCAAGGAGACCTTTTCTTTGGGTGAGGTACTATAGCATTGCCTTTTCCTGCTTAGAAGCAGCTCTCTCTGTGTGTGTGTTGTGTGGGGGTAATTTTCCCACCTCAGGGACCCGGGTTTACAAAAGCAAGGTTAACAGATGACTGAGGTGAACTCATAAGAGCCAGGGTGCTTGCCTATAAGAAATCTGACAAAATGGTAACACAGAGCCCTTCCAGCCCCACTGTTCATACACAGCTGAAGGGTGAGCATGTGCAGAGGAAAATCTGACAGTAGCCCACTCCTGCCATGATCCCCCACCAGGTGACATCAGAATGTAGGCACATCTGTTGTCTCAGGAGGCTCCTAAGGGCAGGATGCAGCCTAGAGCCTCACTGGGGCTGGCGGACGGAGGCATCCTATTGATAATACGATGTGGGGGGGCCCAGGGAAATTTGTAGCTACTGGTCACACAATCCGTGTTCACTGTGTGCAAATGTGGGCTGTACTTTAGGATGGGTGCTGTTTTTTTTTTTAAATTTTTATTTATTTATTTATGATAGTCTCACACACACACACACACACACACACAGAGAGAGAGAGAGAGAGAGAGAGAGAGGCAGAGACAGGCAGAGGGAGAAGCAGGCCCCATGCACCGGGAGCCCGACGTGGGACTCGATCCCGGGTCTCTAGGATCGCGCCCAGGGCCAAAGGCAGGTGCTAAACCGCTGCGCCACCCAGGGATCCCGGGTGCCGTTTCCTAAATGCCAACAACGGTTTGGTTAAAAAGCGGACTTAAGTTCATACTCCCATAGGACAAAGGCCCAGCTCCATGGCCTGGCACCCCAGACCTTGGGGAAGACGACAGTCACAGCAAGAACCACATCATTGTCACCTGAGCACCTTCCGCATGCCAGTTACCCAGGGCTTGATGAAATTTCACAGTAACCTCTGAGCCAAGAACCATCATCCCTAACCTACAGAAGGGAAACAGGCTCAGAAAAAAGTCAGCCTGGTATGTGAGCAGGGCAATTCAACCAAAGGTCTGTCTTTAAACTGGAGCTGTTGTTTCTAGCTCTGGGAACTGGCTAGGGACTGGGGTGAAAACCACTGCAGGGAGATGGAGGAGGCAGTGGGAATGGAGACATTCCTTCTTGAAAGGAAGGCCAAGACCAACTGCCCTCCCCCCATCCCCTGTAAGAGGCTGCCACTCCACCCCTGAAATGAAGAACCAGAGCATGCTGAGGGATAGAGAAGGCCTCATCATCTGTGCTTGTGGGTCAAATACGCAAATGATGGGACTGGGCCAGTCACATGCGCCGTGCACAAGATGGTACCTGCCCGGCCCAGCCCACTGCCAATATCCCTTCCTCCTCCAGATCTGTCATGGGCTGTCTTCCACCGGTTCTAGGGGCCTGGTGGGCGGCATGGGCAGCAGGGGAGCAAGATTCCTTCTAGCTACTGAATTAGAAAAATGAGTCTTTTTCAAAAGGTTTCAAGCTGAACACGGGTTCAGGCAGCCACTACCCAAGCCAGACGGGGGGATCCTGAGGGAGGAGCCCTGCAGCGAGCACCAGTCAAGTGGAGACCTTGAGTGGAAAGAGGCATCCTGGAAAGAGGCCATCCCTCAGGCCTGACTGATGAGGGCAGAAGGACCGGTGCCAGAGCGCCCCCAGGACCCCGTTCCCTCAGCCAGGATCTGCCCATCAGCTCACGCCAGGACAGGCTCAGCAAGCCTCACAAACATTCCTGCAGGTGAACATGGCTTTGCAACAACCAGGAATTCTTGCCTGACTCTACTGACCCCCGGGCTCACACAGCACAAATCTGGACAGCAAAGGACCCCACCTCATCCAAATCTCTGCTCCTTGGGAGGGACAGAGAAGGTGGAGTGTCCTTAGTGCCACACTGCTGGGCACTCATGACACCCAAGGCCCATGCCTCCCCTCTGCCCACACCTCCTGAAATGGGCCCCAGGCTGCTTCCACTTCCTACCCCAGGGTTATTGACACACTGGTTGTGTTTCAGGCCCTGGAATCACATTGCCTGGCTGGACCCCCCATCACCAGAAGCAGGGGTCAGAGCAGCCACAGAGAACAAGTCTTGTGCTTTTGTATTATTCTTTATTTATTGGTCCTACCAACGTGACCCTTACCAGGCCCACGGTTCCTATGTGCACTGGCTTTGCAGACATCTGTGCCACACGGCTATGTCCCAAGTCGAGACCAAATGCTCCTTCCTACTCCTTTCCATGCTCTGCCTCACTTTCTCAGAATCTGAAGGATGTTTGTTTATGTCTGTGTAAAGGTTCCTTGGCAGGAGAACATGCATATGATCTTAAAATAAAGACAACATTCTGACACTAAGATAATGCACAGAAAAAAATACAGTACTCAGACGTCATTGCAAATAAATACCCCATACAGATGAAGTTATCATAAATGTAACATTATTTCTTATGAATCAACGCTGTAACAGAAGGTGAGAACAGGGGCCCCTAGAACTAGGAATAAGAAATGTTTATTCCAGGAAACAGAATTCTTTTATTCTTGCTACTTTTATATTATTGTAATTTGTCCTTTATTTTGGAGGAGGGGAGGATGTGCTCTTCCTCCCTGAGTACCAATTTTACCCGAGGCACCACCTCACTCAGCAAACCCCACGGGATACAGCCCGGGATTGCCCGGGGGCTTTATCGAGTTCTGTTTCCTGAAACTAACAGTGATTAGTTACACCAAGCAAGAGAATATAGAACGTCTCTCCCTCACATCTGCAAAGAACGCTGTGGCAGCCCCTGCCGGCGCCCCGCCCCCCGCTCTTCACAAACGTGGTATTGCTGTTCACACCACTTGCTCAGCTTGTCCCACAGGTCCATTTGGTTCCCAAAGCACACACGGCGGGCGTGTGTTCACTTTCCTTTTCTCAGCTCCTGAATTTGCAAGGATCCACACGGTAAAGAATCACTGACTAACAGAATTTTGCACAATTGCTGTTTTCTTTCCCTCGATGAAGATGCCCAGGTTCCGGCGTGAAGGCGTGCGCCTGTTCACACCTGCTGCTCCAGATTGGCCTTCAACATCCCCGTCTAGCTCTGCACTGTCCATTTAGAGCTCACCCTGTGCTGGGACACCTCCCTTCACTGATGAAGGCACTGCTGGCGATGATTAATTACTAACAAAAAGGCGTTGAAACAGAACACCCTGAAAATTGACGGCTGTAGGATTTTCTAAGTGTACCACAATCTGGCACAAAAACCAGAGTAACAAAACAATTCCAATTTGGAATTTCACTGGTACAGTTGTATAAAATTCTGTTAATCAGTCATGCTTCCCAATGTCCTAAAACCCAGAAGATTCTGGAATTTGTAGGTAATACTACTCACTCAATAATTTATTTTTTGTTTTCAAGTGCCTATTACTGTTTAACCAGAGCAAAGGTCAAGTTTTCTTCTTGTTACATTGAACTATTCCTAAGAATAATAATAATACAATATGAAAAACCCCAGAATCGGAATACCCTGGATTTCTTAATGAACATGGCATTTAAAATCTGTAATTTCAAACGTGAACCATAATGCCGTTTGACCTAAAAGGCTGCTGAACCACAGCGTGGATGCGTTTCGCCGAGCTCTTTGCCGGGTCGAGGCCTTCACCTAAACCTAGAGCTATATGCTAGGAAAACACATCCGGGCCCCGTGCTGATGTCAGATCAACACGGCGGGAGCTAAGTGGAGCGCTACAGGACCACGAGACAGACCACGGCATCTGAGACCGTCTCTATGGGGGGATTAAGGAAGCAAATATAATATCAAAATATCAAAAGTGCACAGGTTGATCAGATAAAAAAGGGTATCTGTAACAGGGAGACCCCAGTGTTGAGCGTTTCTAGCGGGTTTCTAAGCGAGCCTGATGGCCGCTGTCCAAGCAGGTTCTTCAGCGCGGCACAAAGGCCTTCCAGGCAGCAGCTGGCGGCATTCTCAATTAAAGCTTTTTTTCCTCTGCCATTAAACACTCAGGGAATGCTAATTTGGAAAGAACTGCAGTGGCATATCCAAACACGTTTCTAAGTGGACTTTTGGGCTGCCCTTCCTTCCTCTGCGTGGGCCCACGGGAGGGGGAGGGGCTGCAGCGTGACAGGGCCGCGGCCGAGTCCTCCCGGCAGCTACTCTACAGCTGAAAACGGGAGAAAACAAGACAGCGTTAGAACTGGCACCAGTCAGACAACCGAAGCTCTGGCTGGGCAGGATGTGGTGCGTTAGTTGGCGGCAGAGAAGACCCGCATGTGTTAGGAGGGGCCGCCAGCCCCGGATGCCTCGGGAAGACGCCTGCAGGTATGGAGAGAAGCTGCAGCCAGGCTGGGCAGAGGGCAGAAGCGGCGTGCGGGGCCAGCGGGCAGCCATGCCCCCGGAAGACCTGCTTGCAGAGGGGTCGGCCTACCCCTCCAGGGGGTGGGGGCATCTGAGACCTGACATCCCATCAGCAAAGCAGTACAGAGCTGGGGACAGGCGCGACCTGGCCCGCATCTCTTGACTGCTGGTCAGCCAAAGCCAAGGCGGTTGGAACTGCACCTGGAAGCTGGTGGGGCCCAAAGGGGGAGTGGGGTGAGGGGCTGCGTGATGCCCTCTGGCCACAGGGCTCTTCAGGGAAATGACTGCAGCTTTATTCCTCTAACCCCCACAGGGCCACAGGGAGAGAAATACTGAGAAGTCCTGCTTCTGTCTGATGCAGCCTCTGGGGATGGGGTGTCCAGCTGCTTTTGCTGCCTGTCCCCACCTCCAGGTCTGTGTTGCTGTCAAGGATCCCTTCCTGCCCTGGGCGAGGCTCTGGCTACAGATGTGGGAGTCCCTCATTTTAGCCCCTCACTGGGGGTGTCCAGAGCCCTATTTCGGGTGGTCTGATGGTAGGTAGAGGGTGAAGAGCCCTTCCCCCCACCCCCGGATGGCCAGGGACACCCTACCTATGAAGGGACGGGCTTCCTGCGAGGATAGGGTCTGGCCAGGCACTTACAAAGGTTTTCTCATGAGAAAACCCTAGGCCTTGGTCCTGCCAGTGCGTCACCCCGCAGGCCACCTGACGGGTGTGCGATCTCAGGGAGGCTGCACCTGCTGAGTTCGGGACCTGGGTGCCTAGGCACCTGTGCACCACGCGAGCAGGAGTAGTGCTGTGTGCATGTGTGCCTGGGCGGGAGGATGCGGGGCTTGGGGTGTGGGGAGGACTGTGGACTTGTGTCCCAAACACAATGTGCAGTGAGATGCCACACAAACTGCAAAGGAATCCTCTCTGTAAACTGTGCCCGGCTCTCTGGCCGGGGCCCCTAACACTGCTTCTGGCACCAGGGCTGCATTACACACATGCAGGGAACATGCAAGTTTCCTCTCAGGCTCTGTCCACCCCCCACACCCCACAGGAGCCAACGGCGCATGGGCCCCGGGAAGCCACGCGGCTCTGACCCCTGTGACCCCTCTCCCCACCAGGAGAGTGGCTGCCAGGAGGGGTCCCAAGGGCTGAGGACAGACACAGAAATCACAGGGTCCAGGTGGAAGAGCACACCGCCTCGGCCAAGTCCTTCCCTCTGTGCATTAGTCACGGTTAAGACCAGCCTAGCACCGCGGTCCCACTGCTGCTGGGTTAGTGGAGGTGAAGCAGAGGGTGACGTGCGGTAGGGTAGCTGCAGCTGCGGCCCCCGTGACCCTAATCGCAGTAAATGTTATACTTCTCGCCACAGAGCACCTGGTTGGTAAGCCCGGCACCCTCGGCCCTGTCGCTGGCACAGGCGCAGGTGTGACTTACGCTCGGGGTGCCTGACTTGGCCTTGGAGGTGGCCTTGGCGCGACCCCGCCGGGTCTGCTCGTGGTCCAGCTCGAGCAGTTCCAGCCGCTGGGTGAGTGCCAGCTTCTGCTGGATGGCCATGCGCAGCAGGGAGTTGAGTGTCTTCTTCTCGTCCTCTGCGGCCGCCAGCTGCCGCTGCATCTCATCCAGCTGTGTGATGTACTCGTCACACCTGTGGGGGCACCAGGGGCGAGGGCGTGGCTGAAGCAGCGCAAGGCTGAGGACCAGAGGGAGGTCTGGGCAGGGGGAGGGGGCTCCGAAGCGTCCTACTCAGTGGGCTGGAGGGAAGCGGCTGCCCCCCAGCTCTCTGGGAAGTGCGCCCCAGCTGGTTTCCACCATGGGAGCTGGGAGGTAGTGCCTGCCCTTCAGGCCCCAGGTGGTCGAGGGGTGCCTGGCCCTCACAGGTGAGCCCAGGCAGGATCCAGCTTGTTTCTGGAACCATGGGTGCACAGTAGGTACTTAGCAAGTGACCCAACGGCTAAGCAGAGTACAGGCAGGTGCATACATGTCCCCTCACCCTACAGGGCTGGGAGACAAACGCCCCCTCCAGGTCCATCCCTCACCTCCACCTGTCCTTCCTCCCTGAGTCTGTGACCTCAGCTGTGTGTGAGAAGCCAAGTTCTTAAATGAAATGGCGCGGAAGCGAGGGTGGCCAGGCCACCCGGGGTGAGGCGCTGACTGTGAGGCCCCTTCAAGCTCTGCCCCCAGGAAAGGGAGCCTCCGGGGAAGCCAGGAATATCCTACAACATGAGGAACAGCAGCCTCTGACCAGATTCCAGCCCCACCTCACCCACAGCCTCAAGGGCCCTTCTGGACCACAAGGGCCGGTGCCTGCCCGACACCAGCCAGCAGGGGGCATCGTGCCCCTCAGTGCAAACACCTGAACCCAGGCCCCCGGGCAGGCCTGCCCTGACTTCCTGGCACAGGCACCTGGGCTGCCGTGTCCACAGCTGGCTGCCCTCCCCAGCTCAATCCCAGCTGGCAGCTCACACCCCAGGGTCCACTGCTGCCAGGCAGGGAACCTTCCTGGGGAATCTGTAGACTTCTGCCGGGTTCTGAGGGTGGACTCAGCCCTCACACTGCCAGCCCACCTTGGGCCCTGGGCTCTCAGCCTCCTCCTGTTGCATGCAAAGTGCAGGCGACACTGCAGACAACAACCCTGGGGGCTTCCACCTGGGGCCAGAGCCGTGGGCATTACCTGGTAGCAAACATGGCTCGCAGGGAGGAGAAGGTGGCCGCATCTTCCTTCAGGGCCTTCAGCTCGTTACGCAGTTTCATCATGGTCTCGGTCACCATGGCCTTCTCGTTCTCGTACTTGCTCTTCAGATTGGCCAGAGCCACCTCCGCTGTCTGGGGGTCAGACACACAAAGGGCAGGGGGTTGAGACACATGGGGAGGGGCCCTCCGTCTCCTCGAGCTGCTGTCCGAGGCCCAGGGAGGGACAAGACCCGCCCGCCCAGCTGCACACCTGCTTGTTCGCCTTGAGCACCGTGCGCAGCGTGGTGATCTGCTCCCGCTTGGTGCTCAGCAGTGACTTCAGCTTGAGGATCTCCTCCATGAGTGCCTCCCGGTCCTTGTCTGCAGCAGGGCCCAGCTCCTGGGAGGCCAGGCGCTGCCGCGACAGCTCCGTGGTGCGGTCCACAGCCGCCTGCAGATGCCTGATCTGGTCGCGGATGATGGCGATCAGGTTATAGATGTTCATGGGCTCCCGGCGTGGGTCACTCAGAGGGGAGGGCAGAGAGGGGCTGGGCGAGGGGCTGCTGTCCCCCGCCCCACCTTCCGTGGCTGGCGGCCCTTTGGGTAGGACGGGTGAGCGGCGTCCACGGGCTTCAGGGCTGCAGTGGCCAGCGCCAGCCGGGCCCTCTCGGTAGTAGTCCAGCACGACGCGAGTGGGAGTCTCATTGTTGCACATGCACACATGGTGGTACAGGTTGGCCAGCTCTTCACTGAAGGTCACCAGCTCGTCCTGGGCCACGCTCAGGCTGCCCTGTGTCTCACCCGCAACATCACTCACCTTCTTCAGCTCTGCCTGCAGCCGGGCCAGCAGCTCGTGATCCTGGCGGCTGGCCTTCTCTAGCAGGGAGACCTTCTCAGTGAGCGCCTGGCTCTCAGCCTCGTGGCGGCCCTTCTCCTCAGCATGCCGGGCCTCACCGGCCTCATGCTCACCACGCAGGGCTTTCAGCTGCTCGCGGAGCTCACCTGCCTCTGCCAGGGCCACACGATACTTGCAAGCCAAGATCTCAGGCCCATTGATGTCCACCTCATAGTAGTCCCCGTCCTCATGGCTGTCACGCTCCTTCTCGCTGTCCAGGGCTGTCCGCCGCTCCTTGCTGGCCTGCAAGCGCCGCAGGGCGGTGAGGTTCTCTGTGAGGCGGCTCACTTCCTCGCGCTGCTCCGAAAGGGCCCCCCGCGCCTGCTCCAGCTGCTTCTGTGTGTCCTGCAGTGACGCCAGCAGGCCCACCTTCTCCCGCTCCATCTGCAAGAGCACAAGAGCCCTGTCATCAGCCCACCGGAACCCAGACAGACCCAGTGGTGACCCCGCTGGTGCCACAGCTGTCCCCCTGCAGGTCTGTGCTGTAATGAGGGTGCCATGTGTGGGGCCTCGATGGGCCCCTCCTTGGAGATGTGTGGTAAATGGGGGTGGGCCATGCTACAGATCCCAGAACTCTGTTCTGTCCAGGGCGGGAAACTCTGACATGACATGTCCAGAGGACGCAGCCGCAGATCGCCTTTGAGCCCTATGAGGCAACAGGAGGGAACCTGCAGAAACCCAGGCTGTACCTCCCCTCAGCTCTGCAGCTCCACTGATGCTAGCAGTGTAGACTCCATAATAAATACTAGCAAGAGGGGAATGGGACACCACGGGGGCAGAGCTGGAGCAGGGGATGTGCACCGCTGCCTTAAGGCCCTGGGGCTGGGACAACCCCGGCCACCCGCACCTGCATCAGCTGCTGCTTCAGCTTCTGGATCTCAGAGATGTTGAGCTCGCTGAGGAGGTCAGACACCAGGCTGGGGGAGGGCGGGGCGAGACCGTCCTTGGAGGGTGTGGAGGTCCGGTTGTCCAGCGGCAGCTTGGCCAGGCTGGCATGTTCGAAGCCATTGGCCAGGGCCTCTGTGTCGTCACCGAGCTTGAGGCCATCCAGGGAGACATGCAGGTGGCTGGTGTAGAGAGAGTCGTTGATGCTCATGTAGTGTGACAGCTCCTTGCGGAGGCTGAGCTTCTGCTCCCGCTCTGTCTTTAGGGTCTCCAGCGCCTCCTCCAGCTGCCGCTCCGAGATCTCCTTGAGCCTGATGGCATCCTCCAGCTGGCTGTTGAGGTACTCGGTCTCCTCCTCCAGACGCTTGATCTCGTGCTTGAGGCCCTCAAACTCCACCTGGGGAAAGAGCGACAGCGTCTTGTGCCTGTGCAAAGGGGAGGCAACAACAGGGCTCAGAGCGCCACTGTCAGCAGAGCCAGGATGCTCCTCAGAGCCACAGATGCCATGGAAACCAGAACGCATGTCTCTGCTGCAAATGCTGCAGATGTCAGGCTACTTACAATGTTACTAACTGCGTCCTGACTGTAGATTCCACAAAGTTACTTAGTGAACATTGTTAATTGAATATTTTAAGAAATATAAAACATGTACCACGACCAGCACTTGTATTCCGATCTCAAGAGACTCCCCAATCCAGAGGGACCCGGACCCGGAGGCTCCCCAGGGGAAGCGGAGGTGGGGAAAGAATCCAGAGCTGCATGTATCTGGAGGTGGATGAGGGGGTAGGTGCGGACAGACACCAGTGCCTGCAGTGGGGACTTGGGAGTCTATGGGAAATTTTTAAAAAACATTTCTTATTCCAAAAAAACAAAAACATTTCTTATTCTGTCATATTGGTGCAAGAAATAAGGAACAGACCACTTATATGTGGGCCCGAGAGGACCTTAGGGACTCACAACTTGGGGCAGGGGGAGACTCGGGGAGGGGCCAGCCTCCACCACCTGCCACCAGGGCCTAGTCCAGCGTCACGGCAAGTCTGTTGTGTGGCCCGAAGCAGGCGCTCTGTGCCTGGTGTCACGCTGCCGACATAAACACCCAGGCCGTGCTCCCCACACAGATGGAAACGTCCAGGGAGGTTAGGGGCTCCTGGGGACATAGGTGGCAGGTGTGGCCCTAGGATACCACCAGGATGTCCCATCATCAGTGGCAGTGACCCTCCTTACCCCGTTGCTGTCAGAGAAGCCTCTCATCCCACCTATTGCCGGGGTGTCCGAGCCCTGACACGTCCCTGCTGGTCCTCAGTGCCCATCGGCACCTCCTGGCCAGGACCTCAGACAAGGGGCTGGCAGACCACGGACAATGGGAGGGACGGGCCCAGGGCTCCAGGGGTCATGGGTGCATCCTGCTACTGCTGCAGACAGATGGAGCTGGACAGCCTGCCCCTGGGCTCCGGTATCCCCTTTGCTTCGCCTCTGGTATTTGTTTCCTCAGGGGCTGACTGGGACCCCATGGCCACCCCCCACCCCGCATCCACGCCGCGCGGCCCTGAGCTGGGCTGTGGGGAAGGCAGGGGCGTGCCATGGAGCACGGAGGCCGCAGCCAGATACTTGCCTGGTTCTGCCTAAGCACAGACACCTGCTTCTGCAGGCTGATATTCTCCTCCTCCAGCTCCGAGTAGTCCTGCAGCAGGCGAGCCTCGCGGAACTTGTACTCCTTAATGTCATCCCGCAGGCGGCCACGCTGGGTCTCCACATTCTGGTTGATCTGTGTGGGCAGTGGCCACGAAGGTGCCTTAGGGCCCTGGGGAGCCGGGAAGTGTGCCCCAGGTGTGCCCTCGGACTCAGCACCGTGCCCCACTGCTTGTATCCGAGAAGCGAAAATGCAGGTCCACACGGTACCAAGTACGCAAACTCCCCAGAAGCCCGCCTGACAAACAGGGAAACAACACGTGGTCGGTCCACACAACAGGGTGTCATGTAGCCATAAGAAGAAGGTGATGCACTGCCACAGCTGTGACGCGCAGGAACCTGGGACCCCCACCACAAGAGAAGGAGACCAGATGCATGGTCATGGTCGTGTGACTCCAGGTGTTCAGAACAGACCGACCTGCAGGCAGAGGAGGAGGAGAAGGGGCGGGCACCGGGGGCAGTGATGGAGCATCCTGAGTGCACCTGGGACGGTGCCTGACGTGTGCACAGGTTAAGTGAGTGGTCAGGGATGTGGATTATCTCAGGGAAGGGGCTTGAGGATTCAGGGTCAACACAGATGTGAGGCAAGTGTGGCAACCAGGACTCAGGGATTCCTAGCCTGCTGCCACAAGCGCCCTGACCAGGGCCTGGCTGGGTCCCCTGGCCTCCATCCTGGGACATTCTGGGCTGTCCTGTTGTGTCTCAGGGCAGTGAGTGGCTCCCCGAGCCCTGTCCACTGGGCCAGCTCCCTTCTGTGCCGAAACAACTGGCCATGCTGACCGCCCACCCTGACCTCCTGGACCCTCTGCACCCCAGAACCAAGCACCAGGCTGTACATGGGAAGCTGCACACTGGCTTTGCCCTTGACCGAAACGTAACCTGCGTGCTGCAGAGCATCTGCCAATGGCGCGCTGTGGCTTCAGCAGGCCCAGTGAGTTACCTCACTTCCCGTGCACACCGAGTACGTGCTGGCCCCTCTCCCTTGCCTCTGCCCACACTCGTGGGACAAGGCCTGACGTGGCCCCTGGAGGGGTGGAAGCCAAGGCCTGAAACCCACCCAGGCCACAGGTTTGCACATCACGACCCACAGGCCGTGGTGAGACCCATGAGCAGCTCCCCCTGTGGCCTGGGCAAATCCAGCCTTCCCCATGCAGTGTGACACGCCCATGATGAGGTCTATGGGGTCCCCAGAAGTCACCCCACCCTCCTCCAGGGACAGCACAGCCTCCAAGCATAAGCCCTGGGGCTGACGGAGGGCACGTGAGCCCTGTGGGCAGCGAGGGGAGCCCCCAGCTCACAAGCTGGCCCCAAACACCACGTGGCAGGGCAGGCGAGGGAGCGCCATCCACTGACATGAGACCCAGATGGCTGCATTTTGGGCCCAAATTGGACACGGCAACTCTGCCAAGCACACGACCAACTCTGAGCACTCAAACCAGTTCCAACTGGCCACTGGGTGGTTTGGTTCCCCCAAAGAAGCATCTTCTTCCAGGTGGCCTGTCAACTGCAGCCCTGAGGACAGGCACAGGCAGAAAGCAGGGGACATCCTGTCCTGACGGGCCGGAGAAGGTGGGCGCGGGAGGACCAGAACTCGGGGGCCTGGCAGGCTCCCTCTCCGTGCCCTCAGAGCCTCCAACCCGGCACCTGGCACACTCATGCCTCAGCCCCCAGGCGCCCTGAGTGGGAGTAGACCCTCCCCTTCCATGAGGAAACCATGCAGAGACGAACGCATGGACACATGGAACTGTGCAAAGACAAACACATACCCACGCACCCTGGGCAAAATGCTGTCCTTACACGGGCCAAGCCAGGCCTCTACTCACCAACCCTGTCCACCCCAAGAAGGACTGAGGCCCCCAAGTGGGTGTATGGGGGGTGGGCAGTGAGGTCATGCCAAGGAGACTCCCTGCCTGGAAGGTTCCAAAGCAGTGCTGATGCCCTAGGCCATGGGTCCTGCCACCTGAAGCATGGCCACTGGACTCTGGGTGGTGGGGAAAGAGTAGCAGGACAGGGAATGCAGGGCCCAGCCCTGACGAGGGGCCTGTGACAACTGCACAAGCCAGCCAAAGGACATGGAGGGGTCTTGGGGCTGGGGGTCCTCCCCTCCCACCCCAGCAGGTTCTAGGCAGGTTAGCAGCAACAGCCCAGGCGGGACCTGCTGTCTCCAGGCAGACACCGCAGCTGGTCTGGCCAAGCAATGTGGCATCTGCAGGGACATGGATGCTGCCACAGCCGCTGTGGCCAGGAGGAGGGCCGGCCCTTGGCGGGGACAGGAGGGGGCAGCCAGGGACCTTCTCCTGGTCCAGAGACCCCCAAGCACCTGGCAGGTGTGTCCCATGTGCAGCTGCAGAGACCAAGGCTGGCCTGAGTTCACCTGTGCCAGCCATCCAGGCAGGGGGTCCACCTGTAGACACGCCGCCCAGACCCCCAACCCCCTGGGGGCTGTGCACCTCCTGGTGGAGTCGGTTCCCAGGAGACCCACCCCCTTCCTCCTCTGTGTGGGACTCCATCCCTGCTGCCTCACCTACACACCACAACCCCCACCTGGAGCCTGGCAAGGCTGCTCCTGACCCCTACCCGCCCTTCCTTCCAGGCAGCTCCAGGCACCACCAGGCAGCAACCAAGCCTCCCTGACTCCTGCCCTGGGTTCCAGGGCACAGAATTCCACTGGAATGTCTGTCATTTACTCCAGGGCTCAAGGCACGTGCAGTCCACCTGGGGCAGCAAGGACAGGGCCCCTGGGCAGAAAGGTCACCTGGTAGGGCCCCACTGGGCAGGTGAGGTGGACTGCCTCCAGTCCAGCCTCTCAAGGGCAGCCCCCCCTTGCCGAACAAGGACCCCCCTTCCCCTCCCCCAGCGAATCCCTGGAAGGCCTCAGTCTGTGCACCAGACCTGACTGCCTCCAACCAACTGCTCCCCAGCCACCCCAGACTCTGCTTCTCCATCTCCAAAATGGGTCTCAAGGCCTTGTCCCAGGACAGATGCTAGCTGGGCCCATCCACATAAGTGAAGAGGTCAGAGGTCAGGACCTAGGGCTGCCAGCCCAACCCTAGGCATGCGGACAAACCACCTGCTCCTTGGTTCCCCCCACCCCCACAGGGTCACCAAAAGGACAAGTTCTGGAGCAGCTGGAACCATCCCATGTGCTGAGCACACCTCACACAAATTGCACTACACAGACCACGAGGTCCTCCCGGAAAGCCGGCATTAAGCTGTCGGGGTTTGGTCAGAGGGCATGGTACAGCTGGCATAGCATGAAATGGGCATGGCAGCTGGACCGGGCACTGGGAACTACAGCTACCCTCAAAGAGGGGATGCCCCAGGGGGTGACCCCGCACGGCTTGCACATCACACCAAGGCAGGTGGAGAGTGGCCTCCTGGGGGCAGCGCATGTCATTACATGCATGTAGTCCTGACTCCTCCACCAGGCCTGGCCGTGGGTGCCAGCCTCATGGGGAGAGGGGACAGCCACTTCAGAGGCCAGGAGGGAGCACCAACAGGAATGGCAGGAATCCCAGCCCCACAAACCTGCTTCCTACAGGACCAGCTGAGCTCATGTCCTGATACCCAAAGCCAGGAGTCAGCAGCTTAGTGGGGCTCTCCCGACGGCTCAGACATGAGGAGCCAAACAGGCCTGGCCAGGTGAGGCCACCTGGTGGGGCGAGGCTACAACCACCTTGGTGAGGTCACCCCGCATTCCCAGCGGCCCTCCCCCCACCCCCACCGTGGTAATCCCAGTAATCCCATGGGAAGAAATTAACTCACAAACTCTGGCTCCACACATCTGAGGCCTGCCCACCCCCTGGATCCAAGCCCAGTTCTTCCCAGGCCCGCAGACCTGCATGAACTGTGACCCCAAGCCGGGGTAGGTGACCGCTCTCCACTGCTGCCAGCCCCTGGGCTGCGTCTCACACCACAGGAGCCCCCTGCCAGCCTCGGGTGGCCCTGATGTCAAAGCGTGGACCTCAGAACTGCCTGTCCATCTGGTCAGCTGTCCCTGCCCCCCAAGTACACAGGGCAGAGAGCAGGTCCCCGTGGCCCAGAACGAGGCCCCTTGCTCTTGCTGATGAGAAGCCAGGGGCCTTAAGCCACGGCCAGAACAGCCCCCACGGACTCCAGGCCACACCCACTGTCCCCGAGCTCGCTCACCCCCCTTGAGGATGGCCACGTGCGGAGGGCACGACACACCTGCCCTGCCCTCCCCTGGGCTTGCCGGTACCTCCTTCAGCTCCTGCGCCACGGATGCCAGGCGCTCATTCTCCGACTGTGTGTTGGTGAGCACGTTCCGCAGCTGCTTCAGCTCCGTCTGCAGCTCCAGCACCTTTCGCACGTAGTACTGCTCCTTGGAGGCTGACTCCTGGATCAGACTCTCCTCCCGGCTCTCACCATCCGCGGCCACCTTCTTGTGGTTCGTGTGCGCCTGTCCAAACGCCTGCGCAGAGACCAGATGCTCGTAAGACAGAAGCCGCCGCCTGCAAGCCCTGGGGAGGACACCCCGGTGGGGACACTAGGGTTGGGGGGGATACAGGGGGTGGGCCATGGACGAGGGAGTGCAGGACACCTGAGGGCTACACAGGGTAGCAGGGCTAGTGGTCAGGTGGGAACAGAGCCAGGGAGGAGTGAGGTGGGGCTGATGGCCAAGTGGGGCCAGGCAAGGAATGACCCAGACGATGAGGTGGCTCTGGGACCCCCAGCAGCACGGACCCTTTCGGGAGTCAGGCTGCTGACCCAGGAGTGGGGCAGGGAAGTCCTGTCCTAGGACCAGGGCAGATCTGAGGCCCACATAGCAACCCTCTGCCCCACTCCAGATGGAGAAACTGAGGCCAGAGCGGCCTGGGAGGGTGTGAGCCCAGGTGTGGGCCAAGGGAGGAGATGGGAAGGTGAACCAGTCGACAGACCAGCGTGTGTGCCCCAGCGGGAGACCCCACCCACCTGCCCAGTGTCTGGAGGAGAGCTGAGAGGACGCCCTAACCCCACCAGGCCCAGAGGGGAGAGGATGCCCCCATCCCCACCCCATCCCCATCCCTACCTCCACCCCAGGCCAAGGGAGGGCTCCCAGGGAGGAGGCGGGTACACCTGGCGTGGTGTAGCCAACCAGTCTCAGCCTAGGCCCAAGACCAGTCACCAGGACAACCCCCATTGGCCTCCCCCCTCACTGGCTACCCCATGCAGACTCCTTACAGCCTCCCCGCTCACTGGGAGGGCTCTTGAAGAAGGAAGAGTTGATGTCTTTATTTCTTGAAAGAAACGGGCATTTTCACTTATTTCACTATCTGAGATGAAACCTAGGAATTCTGTCCAAGAAAACTGGGAAAACAGGCATAAGGGGAAGGCTGTTACTGCACAGGACCACCTTCCGACATAAAGAACCAAACCGTAGAAAGCTGATGGGGCCTGGCTAAAGGAAGCGCGGTCTGGTTGGGGTCAGCATTCTGTGAAAACGCCCATTTCTTTTCAAACCAAGTCAGCTCTGCTCTGAGACTCCGGGTGCTGTCCTCTTCTGTCTCAGTCCCAGATAAAAAGTCTACACAGGACTTGCCCAGTCTGGGCAGCGGCCCTGACCCCCAGCTGCACAGCAGCCTGGGGTGAGCAAAACCTACCAAACTTCTGGAAGCAGAGCAAGGACCTGACCCACAGGGCAGGTGTGCTGGAGAGCCCCGGCCAGCTGAGGACTTCCCCTCGAGCCTGCAGACGAGCCCAACCAGGTGGCCAGGGCCAATTACACACACAGCCTCAAACTGGAGTGTGGACATCCCTCTGGGTGTGGGGTCAACCATTAGAGGCTGTCCCAAGGCCAGACAGCTCAACGCGGTGATGCATGCAAGCATGTACACATGCACGTCCAGGCCTGCCAGCCATCCAGGCCTGCCAGCCACGGCCCAGAGACTGGTACCTCCTGCTGAGCTAAGAGGACAGTCACAGGGACTAGGTGTGGCTCCTCGTGCAAAAGTGATCATTAACTGGGAACTGTGTCAATTTTCAAGTCACGGGACAACCAAGTAGTGAGGCACAGGGCACAAGCAAGCTCCAGGACAGCCCTCATCTGCCTCAAAGGGCCCGTGGCCATGGTGCTGGAGGAGACGGTGGGGAGCAGGCCAGGAGGCCTTCAGGGAGGAGGCAGTGCTGCAAGACGGTGGACAAGGCAGCAAAGGCAGCAGACCTGCGGACAGAGAGGACAGTCAGTGCGAACCTGTGAGGGCGCCACCCAGGTGGACCACATGGAGCCACCGGCAGGGGAGGCAAGGAGGTGGAGCAGGTTGTGACCTACACAGCTGAAGGCTTCAGACCACATCCCCGAACAACACACAGGAATAACAACAGCATCATCTCGCACTCAGGGAAACCAGCAGGCCACAGCAGTGAGCATGGCTCAGACTGGCGCCGTGGTAGCTGGGGGCTCAGGATGCAGGACGAAGCTGGCACACACGGGGCGGCGAACCTGAAGCCATGGAAGGTATGCAAGATGGAATCACAGAGTGATGCAAGGGGAGCACTGCAGGGATTAGCAGCCGATTCCACGATGCAGAATAGACTGGCAGGCTGAAGACACAACTGTGGGTTACCCAGGGTAGGCGGAGCCCCAGGGAAGAGGAGGGTGAGGACAGAATACGCACTAGAACCCAGAATGGTCTAAGACATCCAGACTTACACGTAGTGGCGCGTCTAGCCCTGAGCACAAGCAACATGAGAGAAACCACACGAAACTCCCTAAAGCCAGCATAGCAGAAGAAACACTAAAACCACCCAGAGGGATAAGCAGTACAAGATGACATCAGATTTCTCCGGCTATGGGACACAGCAGAATCACCCTGAGAAAAAACAAAGCAAACCCATTACCGAGAGCGCTCTGCCCATGAACCTCCACAAACAGCCATGAGATGAAGACAAGGGCTTGAAAGGACTGAGCACCTGCAGACCTGCATGACCAAGACATTCAATAAAATCCTTCCGGCAGAAGAAAAACAATACCAGATGGAAATCTAGATTTAGGAAGAGGAGTGAAAAGCACCAGAATTGATAATTACGGAATAAATATAACAGACTTATTGTTCTTATTAAATTCCTTTAAAAGATAATTAACCAGGGACTCAGTGCAATCTGAATCAAACTGCCAATGGCTTTTTTTGCAGAAATGGAAATTCATATAGGATTGCAAAGGGTCCAGAACAGCTAAAACAATATTGAAAACAAAACAGGAAGACTCAAATTCTCTATTTCAAAAACTTTAATGTTACTGTGACGATGACTGTGTGGTAGTGGCATAAGACAATCCAGACCAATGCAACACAAGAGTCCAGAAATAAACTGTTGCATATGCGGCCAATTATTTTTTTTAATTTTTTTTTATTTATTTACGATAGTCATACAGAGAGAGAGAGAGAGGCAGAGACACAGGCAGAGGGAGAAGCAGGCTCCATGCACCGGGAGCCTGATGTGGGATTCGATCCTGGGTCTCCAGGATCGCGCCCTGGGCCAAAGGCAGGCGCCAAAACCGCTGCGCCACCCAGGGATCCCTTTTTTTTTTTTTTTAATTTTTTTTTTCGGCCAATTATTTTTGACAACAGTAAAAAGATAATTCAGTGATGAAAGAATAGTTTTCAAAAAACGGACATCCACATGCAAAACAATGAAGGTGAATCCCTACCTCACATCATATACACAAATCAACCCAAAATGGATCAGAAACCTAAATGCAAGAACTACAACTAAAACTTTCTGAAAAGGGACATCTGCGTGGCTCAGCGATGGAGCATCTGCCTTCGGCTCAGGTTGTGATCCTAGAGTCCCAGGATTGAGTCCCACATCGGGCTCCCTGCATGGAGCCTGCTTCTCCCTCTACCTGTGTCTCTGCCTCTCTCTCTCGGTCTCTCATGAATAAATAAAAAAAAAAAAATCTTAAAAAAAAAAAACTCTCAGAAAAAAAAAAACAGGGATTAATCTTCATGAACTTATTGGCAATGGGTTTTTAACATGTGACACCATAAGCATGAGCAAAAACAACAAAAATAAACTGACTTCATAAAAATTAAAACATTTGGTATCAGACGTTTATTAAATATGGTATCAAAGAACATCATCAAGTGGAAAGACAAGCTACACAATAGGAGAAAATACTTTAAAAGAAAACCATTTATTTATTTATGAGAGAGAGGATGGGAGGGGGAGGGAAAGAGAGAAAGGGAGTCTCAAGCAGACTCCTCTCCGAGCAGAGCTCGACATGGGGCTCAGTCTCACAACCCTGAGATCATGACCTGAGCTGAAATCAAGTGTCAGACACCTAACTGACTGAGCCACCCAGGGGCCCAGGAGAACATACTTGTAAATCTTCTATCTGATAAGGCTCTACTGTCTAGAATATACAAAGAATGCCTGTAACTCAACAATAAAAACACAGCCTAATTTAAAAATGGACAAAGAATTTGAATAGACATTTCTCCAAAATATAAATAAACGAGGGGGCAGCCTGGGTGGTTCAGCGGTTTAGCGCCTGCCTTCAGCCCAGGGCATGATCCTGGAGACCCGGGATTGAGTCCCACATCAGGCTCCCTGCATGGAGCCTGCTCCACCCTCTGCCTGTGTCTCTGCCTCTCTCTCTCTCAAGAATAAATAAATAAATAATCTTAAAAAAATAAATAAAAGACAAATAAGCTCAAGAGAAGACACTCAATGTAAGCAGACAATAGGGAAGTGGAAGGCAAGTCAAAAGCATAATGAGATAGCTGTAATGGAGGATAAAATAAGGAAAATAACAAGTGCTAGCAAAAATATGGAAGAACCAGAACCCTCATGTATTGCTGGTGGGAATGGAAAATGATGCAGCTGCTGTGAAAACCAGCCTGGCAGACCCTCGAAAAGTTAAACAGAGTATCATATGGTCCTACAATTCACTCCTGGGCATAAACCCAAAAGAAATTAAAATATACATCCATATGAAAACTTGAACGCTAATTTTCATAATAGCCAAAAAGTAAAGACAATGCAAAAATCTACCAACTGATAAATGGATAAACAAAATGTGGCCTATCTATACAATAAAATATCAGTAATAAATCGGAATGAATTACTGATACATAGTACAACATACATGGACTCTGAAAATATTCTGTTATATGAAAAAAAAAACAGTCACAAAGGGCTACATATTGTATGATTCCATTTATGTGAAATATCCGAACTGGGCAAATCTATAGAGAGTGTACACAGATTGGTGGTTGCTCAAGGCTGGAGCTGGAGCTGGAAGGGGTGACAGCTAAGGTTCAGGATATCTTTTTTTTTTTTTTTTAAGATATTTATTTTTTGAGAGAGAAAGAGAGAGATTGCGAGCACTAGCAAGGGGAGAGGGGCAAAGGGAGACAGAGAAGCAGACTCCCCACTGAGCAGGGAGCCTGACTCAGCGCTCAATCCCAGGGCCCTGAGAACATGACCTGACCC